AATTAGCCATATGTTTTGTATAAAAGTTAAAAGACTGACCAGAAAATTAACTGACAACATCAAACATCTCATTACTAGCCAGTCTTCACACTAAATAAATTAATAATCATGTTTGTATACAACGTGTTAGTGTGTGTCTGTAAAAAATAAAGAAGTTGTCGAAAGACAAAATATAGACTTGAAAGAATTTTGTTTGATGACATTTTTACGTAAATTTTTTTTCTAAAGAATCCACCCATACACAAATTCCATCAACAATAATTACCTTTTGGACAAGAAAATGTTTGTTGAAATGATGCTTAAATTAAGGAGATTGGTGTTGTTGCCATCATTTAACACACATTTTAACGTCAACATTTTTGTACTCACACACGCACTTAACTAATTTTGGTCATTTTATTAGGCTTTCAATCATGAGTATCTTAACAGAACGTACATATGTATGTAAGCACATATTTATGATCAAATTTGTTGATGTTGGCCTATAGTTGAGTTAAAGAGACAATGTAATTTGACTTAGTGATAATGTTATTACTTAGTTGTTATGACATAAACTCATTCACAAGAACTAAAATTTTAACTGCAAATCGATAAGTGACAATAGAATTGACTATAGTCTTGACAATAGTCTTGACAATAGAGTTGACAATTGTCTTGACTATAGAGTTGATTATAGTCTTGACTACAGAGTTGACTATAGCCTCGACTATAGAGTAGATCATTATCTTGACTATAGAATTGACTGTAGTCTTGACTAAAGAGTTGACCATAGAATTGACTATTGTCTTGACTATAGAGTTGACTATTCTCGACAATAGTCTTGACAATAGCCTCTACTATACATTTGACTACAGTCTTGCCGATATAGTCGAGACTATATTATCTACTATAGAGTCGACTGTAGAGTTATCTATAGTCTCGACTATTGTCTTGTCTATAGAGTTGATTATAGTCCTGATGATAGAGTTGACCATAGTCGCGACTATGGAGTTGAATATAGTCTCGGCAATAGAGTTGACAATAATCTCGACTATAGAGTTGAATAATGTCAAGACTATAAAATAGTCCATAGTCTCGACTTTAGGGTTGACTATAGTTTCGACTATAGAGTTGACTATCGTTTCGACTATAGAGTTGACTTTAGTCTCTACTATAAAGTAAATTATAATCTCGACTATAATGTTGGCTATAGTCTTAACTATATAGCTGACTATAATCAACTATAGTAGACAATCTCTTGACTATATCCTCGACTATTAGAATACTATATTCTAGACTATAGATTTGACTACAATAGAGTCTGAAGTTGAAATTTAAAAAAACTCAATAAGAAATTACATAAAGCATACAAGCCTGAATTTTCTCAATTAAAATAAAACAAAAAAATATTTAAAAATTCCGCCATTATCTGTTTCTTTCAAAATTAACAATTATATTAAAATAAAAATACCACATAATTTTAATTAAAAGTTATTTGCATACAAAATAATTTTAGTCTTAACTATTGGAATAAATTTGGAAAGGTATCTTCCAAAATTTTGTGGTTCTAAAATTTATTGTCTAAAAAAGACCAGCTGTTACTTTCTTTTCATGCAATATTAATTTTCTTTACAAAAGTAAAATAGCAATACATACATATATAAAAAAACTAAGTAATTTCAAACAACAAACAACATTCAATCAACAAACAAAATTTTCTAACCACAAAAACCACAAGAATTATTTAACAAAAGACTGACCAGCAGGAGGTAAATTAAAGAAAAATTCTAAGAAGAATTTAAATTTAAGGAAAATGTTTAGTAATATAAAAAGGCAAGCTAGCAAAAAAAAATTGTCTATTCTACACAACACATTAAGTATTTTTTAAACAAATCAGCATGATAAACACAAACTACTCGTGCTGCTAGATTTTTTTTTTCAGTTTAAAAACTACTTAAAAATCCTTTTTTCTCATACATGTTTAAAATGTTTGTTTGACTTTGTACAAATATGTATAAATGTGTGTTAAATACATGTAATGGAATCATAAACAATATCATTGTCAAAGTCACACTTAAAAAAACAACAACTACCAAAGGACATAGACAAGAAACAAAAAAAGCAAAATGTGAAAACTGAATAAAAATCAAAAAGCAAACAATATAAACCAACATTACAATATGTATGTAAGTATGTTTAAAAGTGTATGTGTGTGTGTGTGTTTGCTGGGTACACACAGTCTGACTACTGACTATATGTATGACAATTTTGAACACAGAGAACACAAAACAACAGGACATAAAACCAAAGACAACAACTATAATAGCACAAAAAGCTAAAAACAATATTTCAGGCTCAAGGCTTTTTTGTTGGAAAAAAAAGCTCAAGGTAATAAACCAACACTCTTACAATGCCACTAGTGTGTGCATACTTGTATAAGTTCGAGTATCTGTATGTCATTCTTTGAGTGTACACCCCATGAACAGTGGATGCAGAAAATTGTAATATTTATTGAAATTAAATTTTTAAATTGTTAATATTTAAATTTAAAGTGTATAATTTGAAAGTTAGTAAGTTAGTAAGTTAGTAAGTTAGTAAGTTAGTAAGTTAGTAAGTTAGTAAGTTAGTAAGTTAGTAAGTTAGTAAGTTAGTAAGTTAGAAGGTTAGTAAGTTAGAAGGTTAGTAAGTTAGAAGAATAGTAAGCTAGAAGGTTAGTAAGTTAGTAAGTTAGTAAGTTGGTAAGTTAGTAAGTTAGTAAGTTAGAAAGTTAGTAAGTTAGTAGGTTTTAAAAATGATTATATTGAGATTATTTAAGCACTTGTAGGCATTTCACTGTATCTACGACGAAAATCATTCATAATTACAAACGCGTTTGAACGCTTAAAAGTAAGTAACGACTGCCACCACTATCACAATCAAATACAACCATAACATGTTTAGGCATGGGTCTTTTAACATACTCACTCCAATAAACCTACACGATGAGTTCACACTAACAATATTCACAATCATTTTGCTATCCAATCAACTATTCAATTCATTCATTTACAATTTATCGTTTGTATACTCATATTGTTCTCTTTCGTTCTATACAATTAACTGCTTTAACATTTTTGCCTCAGCTGTTCGCTGGTTGATGGGTTACAAAAGCAACCAAAGACCCATTAAGGACAATGTTTTCAAAGAACTATTGAAAACAAAATTTCTTTTGTTGTGGGTGGTTTTCAAAATTGGTTTGTTAACATTGTTATTATTTTCAAGGCACAATGTCATGTTTATAAAGCAAGGACGACACCAAAAAAGGACACGGAACTAAGGCAAAGGATACAAAAAATGAACCAACAACCTTATTATCATCAGTAAGTTATACTGATGAGCATTAACCAAAAAATCGAAGAAATAATAATATTGATTAACAAGTTTTGTGGTTATATACTCTGATAAAGAAAAAGTGTGTATATCCTTGATTAAATATATTCGATTTATGTCTTTTATTTTTGAAACATCATAGCAAAAGAAATGCTTGCACACATCCACTTCTTAATACTTGTGGGATATACAGGAGTAGAAGTAAAATAAAAAAAAAACATTTCAAAATTTCATATTCAACAGCAACCTGATTAATTTAATCCTTAAAGGATTTTCTGCTGCTGCATAAAAACTAAACACACGCCAACACTCTCAAACAAAACGGACTCATATGTAATTTATCGTTTGGTTATAACATTTATCCATACATATCCCACTGGCCACCACCAGTAGGCTGCTAGACTTAATAGCCACTCGGTTGTAGTTTTTGCTGGTATTGGGTCAGTTGGGCTTTTGCTTATGGGCGGTTAGTAAGGGGCATGTTTAAATTTACGCCCATTTTTTGCAGGTTGTTTGTTATAGTTTTATGTAGATTTCTTTTTCAATGCTGCTGGTATCGTTGCCTGATGTTGGCTTTTTTGGCCAAGTGTTATTTCCGCTTGGTTTCGTTTTGTATGTGTATGCGTGCATGTCTATGTGTGTTTGTATATCAGTGTTTTCACTTATTACTCCCAAGTGTTTGTATGTTGTACAGTTCATAGTGGTAGAATTTTTTTGATTTCAAAAATATTCGTGAACTTTTTTTGTGTGCATGTGTGGGAATTTGTCTGGTTAAAATATTCATTTGTACAGATACATTTTTTTCATTTCTGGGAGTATTTGTTAATATTTATTTACCGCTTTTGTAGAGTATAAAGTTATTTAGTTGCTAGAGTTTTCTTAAATACAAAACGAAAGCATGTATTTATACTGGAAAATTAAGCAAAAAATGTTTCCATTAAATGAAAATTGATTGTAAATTACAAAGTGGATGAAAAAAAATCCAAAATTAAGAAAAACTCTTTTATAAAAAGAATATTTTGTGAAATTTTTGGGAAAAATTAAAGCAAATTATAAATATGAAATTTCGGGAAATTTTGCGGAACATTAAAAATAATAAGAAAATTTTTCGAAAATTTTCCATCAAGAGAATATTTCTCAAAAATTTTCTATAAAAACTAATATTTCCCCAGAATACTTCCTTAGGTTACTTGGTAGTGTTATAGTCTGTCAGTACTGAGGTCGTGGCTTTGTTTCCCCCAGATTTTCTAAAAAAAAAAGCTTACAATACAGCTGTCAATGTCCTAAGTGTATTTCTTCGGATCTGATGTATTTACTTTCAAACTCAATAACAACATAACAAATATTTCTCCAAAATTTCTTGTTAAAATAAAAAGTAGAGAACAGAAAATTTCTCGAAAATTTTCTGGAAATATTTTGTGAAGATTTCTTGAAAATCTTTTTTAAAGCGAACTTTTATAAACGTTTTTTATAGAGACAAACATTTCTCGAAAATTTTCTTTAAAAACAAAATATTTCCAAAATTTTCTTTAAAGAGGGGAATTTTACAAAAAAATATTTTAAAAAATATATTTAACAATTACAAATATTATAAGCTTTGAATTTTAAAAATTTAAATTTAATTTGTCAAACTTTCTTTTTTACAATTTCAGTTGCTGCATTATGTTATTATAGCAACAGAAGGTAAATTCGATTTGTTTTAAATAAAATCTTTAAAGCTGAATGAATAAATTGGTTTGTGTGCATTAATAGATATTCTCTTTTAGTTTTTGTTTGTTTTTTTCTCTCTATATATATATCTGCCAATACAAACAGATATACTGCATAAACTTGTACTTTAGATAGGTATTTGTCTTTTCAAGGATTTCAATTTTAAAATTTTCTTGTGATTTCTTTTATTTGTGTTTCTATAACTAATACATACATACATATTTTTTTTCTTTTTAGTATTTCAATTATTTTTCAATCACTTTTGCGTAATCTCACAAATCAGCTATTGTAACAACTTTCATTTGGGGTTTGTTTTTTTTTTTTTGTCCCTGCACTCCCATACACATATACATATGTGTTTCCTTCTCTCCATATTTCAAAGTATAATCCTTAGAAATGCATTGAACAGTAAGTTTCAAATACTAGAATGCTGTTAAAAGAAATTGGAGAGAAAAAAAAAACATGTCTACAAGTTGTCATTGTCTATTGTGAATGGCAAAAACATCGAGAGAAAAAAATATAAAAAAATAATGTTTTGTTTTGATTGTTATATGGGCTACGAAGGAGAGAGAGGAGCACTGTATTGCTTTGGTTGTAGATATATGAATCTAGGGAATTGGTAATTGAGGTTTGAGTCACATTTGTTGATAAAAAAAACTAACATGAACTTAACCAATACACAAATACTTGCCACAGCACACATTTTCCTTGCTCCGTAGATGAGAATTTAAATTTTTAGTCATTTTTATTCAATTCAATTTACTAATACATATGAATATATGACTGACATACATATGCATGTACATATTTGCTGCCTAACAACCAGCTGCATTATGCTACATCAGTGTGTAGTTCTTTTCAGAATTCTCACTGTGTTTTCTTTTTTTCAGATTTGGCATAATGCCAATATCCTAGATGCCTAGTATATGCATGAAAACAATCAGCACACACACATTTACACTTAAACCTACATGACATAAAAATACATCTATTTAACAAGGATTGAGAGCGGTTAAACAAGGGTGTGATTTTTAGAATGAAATTTAGATTTAAGCCAAGAGATTTTTCTATTTTATTTTGACTTAAGACTCTGCGAAAAATGTTTACGAATGTTTAAGAAAGAATTAAGAGTGAAGAAATAAAACATCAGGTTTACTCGAACAGTTTCAAACTTCAATCTTGGAGTTTACAGAAATTTAAAGTTAAACAAATTATATCATATCAAAAAGAAAAAATTTCTCTTACAATTTAGCTCATTTCATTCCTCTTTTCATGCCTACAACTTACACATACATGCAGTCACGAGATACAACAATACCAAACCAAACGGAAATAAAACTGCACTTGTGTGTGTTCGTTTAGTTTGTTTAAAAACAAATTTATTTTTAAATTTTAACAACTAACACATGCTTGTTCTGCTTTTACTGGCTGCTTGACTGCGTGTTTTTCCAACAATTTTTTTTCTTTAATTTGTTTTTTTCATTCTTTTACTATTTTATTTATTCTTTAAAAGTTATTTACAGCAACAAAATAAAAAATAACAAATTTAAGTCTTTTAAAAGAATGAAAATAAACTATTTCTAACAAAAATCGTTACAAAAAAAGTTACACTTGAAAAGGAAAGAAATGTTGCTGGTACATAAATAGGAAAAAACCAACAACAAACCAAAAAAAAACAAAATGAGTAAAAAAAGAACCATTGACAATGACTTGTTCGTGAGCATGAGTTTACTAAAATATAGTTTTCTTTTTTCTCTACTTTCTCTTGACTTTCACTTTTTATGCACGTTTCAGTTGAGTTGTTTTCTTACTGTAATCTTTTGCTCTAGTTTTTTTGGCAGCCAACATTAAAACATTTCGATTTTTTCTTTTAAGTGGGTGTAGGGTGGTTGTTTGGTTTTCTTGTGCATCTGCAGAATTTAGAGTCTGTGTTAGGAAAGTTTTCTGTGTATTTGTGTTAACCCTTTAAATTCTTGTAATCATATTGTTTTAAATGTATTTTTTCCTCTTGTTACATTTGTTGCAAACATACATACCAGACATGAAAAATTATAATTGATTGTTTAGGATTTTATATACGATTCTTAAAACTACTTTAAAGATGTTTTAGATATTTAGTCCGTTCGACTTATTGGCTGGTCTATCTAATTAATAGTCTTTAAACTAGTCTATAGATTATTATATTGACGAGTATTGTGACCTAGACTAATCAATTGACGTGTCTATGAACTAGGTTAATAACCAATCTGTCTATGGACTCAGAACTCAATGTCCATGTACTAGTCTAGTCCATATACTAGTCTATTGGATAGTATTGGAGCTAATCAATGGTTAAGGCAATTCATTTGCCTATAAACTATTTTATTAACTGATCAATTTATTGCAATATTAACTAGTCTATTGACTAGTGTATTGGTTAGTCTCTTGACTGCACTATTGATTATACAACGAACTAGTGACTAAGTTATACACTAGTCTATGAACTAATCTATTGACAAGTACATTTACTAGAGTATTAATTAGCCTATGAACAAGCCTATGGTCTATTTCATTACTACTATAGTCAATGGATTGGTATATTGATTACACGTTTAATTAGTCTAATAACTACGCTATAGACTGGTCTAATGAATAGTCAATTGACTATAAAAGGAACTAGTTTATTGATTTATAGAATCTGATCTATACATACTGGAGTATTGACTAGCCTATGAACAAGTCTATGGATCATTACATTACTACTATAGTCAATGGATTGGTATATTGACTACACGTTTAATTAGTCTTTTAACTACTCTATAGTGGTCCATTTCATTAACTAGTCTATGAACTGGTCTAATGACTGTACACTAGTCTATGGTTCAATGCATTTACTAGACCACAAACTAATCTAGTATATTGACTAAACTATGGACTTGTCTACTAACTGTGGCCTATGAAAAGTTTTTGAACTAATCTATTGAATAGTCTATGAGCTATTCCATTGACTGGTCTATGTATGAACTACAATATTCTATTGCCTATGATCTAGGCTATCATCAAATTCATATCATGGTCTGGTGTGTTCTCCAATTCATTGGCTAGTCAATGGCATATTGACTAATCGATTGGCTATAATATTGACTAATGTACTACCTAGCCTTTGGAATATAGTAACTAATATGGGTCATATAGCCTTTTTACCGATCTGCATATATACTACTTGTCTATGGACCAATCAAATAACTATTTTAAAGACTACTCAATAGATTATTTTCTTAACAAGGCTTTAGACTTATCTAATTATACATCAAAAGAAGTACAATAGCACAGAAATTTCCATTCCTGACACAAACATACATATTATATGCACCTATATGTATTTAATGGTTTCTATATATATAATGCAGTCAACATTTTTTTAGGTATTATGTAGGCTTTATATGGGTAAAAAAAATTCATACACTGAAAGGATTTCTAAAATGAAAATATAATTTTTATAAATTCCATTGTTAACTGAAATTGTAAACTGAAGTACAATGGGTTGTGTTAAAAAAGTCGTTTTCAACCACTAAAACAACATATTTCTATTTTTAGCCTTTAAATTCCCCCTCAATACTGGCAACATCTATATAAAAATTGGCATTGAACAAGGACACAGAATAGAAATATAGAAAACAAAAACTTTTATAAATCATATTTTTACAAACTCTTTACTTTAAGTGTACACCCACATATGTTCACAACAACTACAACTATCTAAATGTAAAAAAAAAAATCTTTTTAAACAGAACAAGAACAAACTAAAACTCAGCCTTGAAATCTTCAACAAACTGCTGCATTATTGTAAAAATATATATTAAAAAAAAATAAGAAATAACAGAAATAAAAAAATAATACGAACAAAAATGTAATAGTTTCCAGTTATTCTTTCATTCAGTTGTTTGTCATAGTTTTAAGTATATAAAAATACTATAGATGCATTTGTACCCTTTAGTCTTTGGATTGTATAGTTCTATAGTAGACATAGACATACATGCAGAGGTTTTATATATGTAACTTTACATCTGGGATAGATTTTTATTTCATTTATTCCATTATTTAGGTCTTTTTCTTTAACTTGAACTATTGCAGTTATATAATAAGGTAAGGGACTAGTTAAGGATTATTATAGCTTAGAGGGAAATTTTAATAAATATTGGAATTTTGGTTTGAGATTGGTTGGTTTGGTAGCAGTAATAAATTATCAATTTAGTTGAGAAGTATCAAAATTACATGCTAGTAAAGTTAGTAGTAGATCCTAACTATTGCATTTTTTAATCGATTCCATGAGCCAGAGAATACACAAAACTGTTACATGTTTCCCATTTTTATTCTAACTAGTTTTCTTCTGTTAAAGAGTTCTCCTTTAAAAGGAAGGAAATTCTAAGACGGAAATAGAAATTGTTAAGAGCTTGTAATCATTAACCAGCTTAACATGGTCAACTCTATTTTTTTACTAAAAAGAAAATATTTCTCCAATAAGTTTTTTCTCTTAAATCCGATATTTTTTTGCCAAAAAGTTGTTTCTTAAAGCAAATTAAAAAACATTTGCATATTTCTTTCTATTCAATATTTCTTAAACCCAGTCCTCTATATAAATTTCCTAGTTATGTTTTTTCAATTCTCATTGACGTATGAATGAAAGATGTAAAACAAAATCTTTCATGTGACATCTGTGAGATCATGTGACTTAATATTTTATTTTTTCTTTAGTTTTACTGAATGTCTATTACCAATAATAGTTAAAGATGAGAATGATGATGATGAAAAACGATAATAGTTTTTGATTGTTATTTTGTAACATTTCGTTTATTCTCTTTAGTTTTTTTAATAACATTTTCAGTTTACTTAAGTATATTCTTTTGGGATGTTTATTTAGCATGTATATGTATGTATGCCAGACTGAGTGAATGTATAATATTTGCATTTTATTCTCTCAATCACTTAGCAAA